CTGTCCATCTGTAAAATGGGGTGGCACACCCGGATCGGTGGGGTGAGGGTGCGAGGTGGCGGGGCTTAGAGGCCAGCCGGGGTCCCAGCGCCACCTTGTCCCCTAGAGGAGCTCTTCCAGGTGCTGAGGGAAAGGAAGCCTGGCTCGGCCTCACACCGCACGCGCCCGTGTGCTCAGGACAGCGGCCAACGCACCCACCGCGTCCGTACTCGCGTGGGAGGGGCCGGAGGGGAAGCAGAGGCAGGTCACCTGCCCTGTCAGCAGAGGAACTTCGCTCTTTGTGACTGCCCGGCCGGGAGGGTGATGGAGGGGCCATGCCTCGGAGCCAGGGCTAAGGCGTGAACGAGCGGCACAGCCGGACACAGGCCTGGGAGCAGGCGGGCACAAAGCCCCTCACCAGAGCGCCTTTCTGGAAGCGTGTTGGCCCGTCTCCTCACCCCCCAAGGTGGAGACCAGGCGTCTCACTGCCCGTCTCCTCACTGGCCGGGCAGACCTGTGGCTGCAGAGGAAATCCAAATGCCTGGGGAGCGTCCCAGAGTGCCCATGCGGGAAGGCTCCCCGGGGCTCCCAGCATGCTGGGGTCCTACCAACAGCCACCTGTGCGGGGGTGCTCATCTCCTCCCTGGTGCTCTTAGAGAAAAGTGTGGCTGGGGTCCTCAGGGGCACTCCTGCGTAGAGGTCCAGTTAGATTCCAGGGGGGCCCGGGGCATCTGGCACTGGGATGTCCTGGCAGGAGGGTGACTGCCCAGCTCGTCTGAGCTTGTGCATGTGTCAGCAGAGGCACCTCCTCTCTCTAACCCTCTCTCAGTGTGTATTTGGGGGGGCGTCCAGGGGCCCTGGGCAGATCTCCCAGCAGCCCTCTTGGTACCCCAGGCATCCGTAATAGGTGCTGAACGAACCAATGAGCGAGCGAAGTGATGAGGGTGAACGCAGGTGAGACTTGAGCGACGTGGAGGCCAGCCCGCGGAGCCCCTCCCCGTCGGAGCCCCTCCCCGTCGGAGCCCCGCATGTAACCTGTGCCTCTAACCGCCGACAGGCCGGTGTTGGCCAGAAACGTTACGGATCACGTGAACAGTCAGTTACCACGTTGTACGCGTCATGAGCGTCGTGTGCTACGTTCTTACGGCGGAGTTAGCTGGAGAAGAGAAACCTGATTGGAGGAGGTCATTAGAGGGGAGCCTGGATGGCCCGGTCAGTTGAGCATCTGATTCCTGGCTTCGGCTCAGTTCACGATCTCAGAATTCCGGGATCGAGCTCCGTGTCCGGCTCCGGGCGCGGTGGGCCGTCTGCCGGAGCGTCTTTCCTTCTGCCCCTCCCACCGCTCACACGTGCACGTATGCCTGCGTCCCCCCTTTTTCTCCAAGATAAATAAAATCTTGAAGAAAAAAAAGAAAGAGAATCGTTAGAGAAAATATGCTTTTGGTGCTGTCGTGTGTCCTTTGAAAAAAACCCCCATGTGAGCGAGCGCCGTCCGCTCCGTTGTTCACGGTCCGCGGGCTGATTCTTAGCCCACAAAAGCTGCCAGAGGGACACACACACAGCGTCCAGGTGCGACAGCAGAACTGAGGTTGGCGTGCGGCTCTCATTTGTGTAGACGGCACGAGGGGCAGAGCTGGTCACGGCTCACGTTGTGGGGTGGTGGCCTGGCTTGGGGAACATGGCCCTGGAGTATGGGGTGGTGGGGCGTCTCTGTGTGCGGTGACACTCTGGGGCCCTGTGTGTCAGGACGAGCGTGAGGCCGGCAGCACGTGGCCGCAGGACAGGAGGTAGGCTGCGCCCGGCCTTGCTCCTGTTTGAGCAGCCTGGGTGGGGTCCCCACAAGGAAAAGCAGCCCCTTCCCCTCTCCAAGCTCACAGACCCCTGTTGGAGGTTGTGGGTGTTCGGGTCTCAGCTAGCTCCGTGCAGAGCCCATGAAAAGGTAGCAACATCCCTTCCCTTCTGGGAAACAGGACAGGGCGGCCAGGGACAGGCCGCGGAGCCCTCCTCCCCTGCGTGATAACCGGGGGAAGCCCGTGACGCTCCTGCCTGGGGCCCCGCTGGGGGCCTGGTTAGCGGAGCCGGTGCTGGGGTGGGTGGAGAGGGCGCTCACGGCTGTGGCCGGGGGCTGTGCAGGGAGGTCAGAGGAGCCCTGTGCCAGGCCTCTGACTGCCAGGGTTCAAGGACGTCAGTGCCTGGGAGGCAGGTGGCTGACTGCTTCCGTAGGAGGCCAGGGAGTGGGCTCTGCACAGAGCAGCAAGCGGCCTGGGGGCAGAGACAGTTCCGTCTCTGCCGCCGCCTCTAGGTGAGAGAACGGCTGCTGTGTGACCAGACCTGGTGTCCCGGCCACCTGCCCTGCCCAGGCGGCCTGACCGGAACCCCAGCGCCCACCCTGCCCTGCCCGCTCACTCCTGCATTCCTGGCACATGAGCTCAGCTGCCCTGCTGAGGGAGTGAAACCTGGCGGCTGTCCCCGTGTGTCGTCGGGAGGGCGTGGGCGGGCTGCCACGGCGATCCCCTCGCTCGGCCTGGGTGGCTTCTGGCCTGTTTCCTGCTGTTGCTCAGGATGGTAATGGGGCTCAAAGGATGAGCTTGGGCACAGTGTCCTGTTCTGGCCGGGAGGCTGGGGGTGCTACCCCGGAGCCGGGGGGGCCGCGGTCCCGAGAAGGCAGTGTGTTTTGGCACCAGCACCCGCTAGGGCAGTGGCTCACACCTGGGCCCAGCCCCACAGTGAGAAACACGCTTTGTGCTGAAACCCTGTGCCCATGTGGACTAGCGTGCGCACACACATGAGCACAAGGTCTCCCGCACCCCCGCACTCCTGCAACTCTGCAACCCTGCAGACACCAAGAGCACCGGACTCAGGGCCCTACCGCACCCTGACTCCTTTCCGGACCCGACACACGGGTGCCTTTGGCTCAGATCATGGTCGCAGGGTCCTGGGAGGGAGCCCCGAGTCAGGCTCCCTGCTCAGCGGGTGAGTCTGTGTGCCCCCTGCTTGTATTCCCTGTGTTTCTGTCTCTTTCTCTCACAAATAAATAAAAATCTTTAAAAAAAAAAAAAGAAGAAAGAGGAAGAGAAAGGACAGCTACATGTGAATCACAAGCCTTTCTCTGCCCCCAGGTCTACAGGCGGCTTGAGCTCCCACAGGCCCTGCGTTCACCCCCGGATGGTGACCACCCCCAAACCCAGCTTCCCGCTCAGAATTCTCCCCGTCTGCCCGACCTTGCTGCCCGTTAGGGCGTCCCAGTTCCTCTTCCCAGGCCCTCCCTGGATTTAGCACGTCTAGGTTCCTGAGTCCCCAACCCAGCCACCTGCATCTCGCCTGCCTCCCCCCATCCGGTCCCCCGCATGCCCCATTTGTCCCCACATCACAGTGCCACATCCACGGGACATGTGGGCCCAGCCTCTTCTCCCAAGGGCCCCGCTTCTTAGATCCCAGAGCAGCTCCAGTGGGGGACCCCACATCTGTTGGGGCCTCGGCAAGAGTCTCCCTTTGGAATGTCGTCGGACTGCATGGCTTAGACCCTCCCTGGGCTTCCCATCCAGCCTGGAAAGCACGGCCTTCTGCACGCAGGCGGTGAGGCTGTGGGGCGGTGGGCTGGCCTGTTCCCACCTCCTCACCGACCTTTCGGCTTGCCTGCTGTTCTGCTGTCCCTGGTACCCCCAGCGGCCCCACTCCCCTGCTCTCCCCCTGCGGGAGCCCGTGGCCCGCCGTCATGCTCTCTGCCCGCGCAGGGTGCTTCTGCCTGCTGTGTGATACGGGTGGGCCTTTGCGCTCCGGCTGCCGGCTACACAGGGATGGGACTGTGGCAGGGACACTGCTGGGCCCCCTGCATCCCTCATTGCTGGGTCTGCGTGTAGCAGGGGCCCTTCCCTTGGCTGTGTCCCGACGGGAAGGCACACCCACCCTGTTTCCTTCCCTTGTTCCCCACATGGTGTAGAGCCCAGTGGGCACCCTCCACCAGCCTCGGCCCAGCCCCATCCGTGAGTGGGTGGGAGCTCTGCAGGGCCTCATCCCCTGGGGGCGCGGGGCTGCGTCCCTCTGTGCTGCACCCCAGGGTGGGCGGGCGGCAGCGCCAGAGCCCTTCCCACGGGCCGAGGGCAAGGAGGGGCCAGAACGGGCGTGACCGGGGCTGGAGCTGTGCACAGGTGGGGGCTGGGGTGAGGGCGCCCGCCTCAGTTCACAGAGAAGCCTCGGGGGTCCCTGTGGCCGGGGACAGGGCGGGGCGTTTCCCCTCAGGGACGCCTGCTCTCGCCCATCCTCAGGAAAGTTCGGACCCATGCCCGTTGTCCTCGTGGACCTGAGCAGGCAGCATGTGGCCGAGACGAGGCTTCTTTGCAGGTTCCGTGCAGTGTCCTTGCTGGCTGGGCCGGCTCTCGGTGGGCAGTGCCAGCTGCCCGTGGCAGTCGCCTTCTGCTGGCGTTCGGGCGCCTGTGTTTGTGCCTTGTGACGAAGACCTTGATTTGCCCTTGGCGGTGGAAATCCAATTTCTTCCGGCGAAGAAGTGCAGTCCGTCGGGCAAAAGACCCGGCCCACGGGGTCATTCACCACGGGGTGTTTGCAGACCAGGCTGCGGGTCCCTCTAATCAGAGCTGACATTGGAGTGAAGACTTCCGGGCGGGGGTGGGGGTGCTGGGCGGCGCCGGTGTGCCCGGCAGGAGGGTTTCCTCAGCTGACTCAGCCCTGGTAGACGGGAGCGGCGCCCCAGCAGCAGCCCTTCTGCGCGGCGACTGCCTGCCGGGCCCCTCAGCCCGTGCTCCATGGCGGCTTGTTCAATCCGCAGGAGCCCAGCACAGTGCTGCGTCCTTGTCCCCACCGTGCGGAGGTGACACCCAAGGCTTGGGTCGGGGGTGGGGAGGGTCTGCCCGAGGGCACCGAGGGCAGGGCTGGGGTCTGTACTCCAGAAGCCTGGCTGGGCCTCCGTAGTCTTCACCTATGGGTTTTCTCCTGCTCTTGGGATGCTCTTGGGGTCCCCAGGTCACCGGGGTCACTCACGCCTTTTCTCTTCTTGCTTTTCGCAGACCATCATGGAGCAGTTCAACCCCAGTCTCCGGAACTTCATTGCTATGGGGAAGAACTACGAGAAGGCCCTGGCGGGTGAGGCCGCGGGGTGGGAGCAGCTCGGGGGGCTGGATGCAGTGGGAGGAGGGAGAGTGGGGGCCGCGCCTTGGAGGCCTGTGAGCCCCGGAGTCTGCACCCAGTGTGCAGTCCTGGGGGCTGGGCTCAGTATCAGCCCACGGCACCTAAAGACGGTGGTTGTGGATGTCTGTCCTCAGAACCTTCGTCTGCAGAACTGAGTGTAGGGCTTGGGGCTTGCGCCATTCACGGAGACCTGGGACTCAGGGCCCTCGCTCGCGGAGGGGACATTGGTGCCAGCATGTGCTGTGGGTGTGTCTGGGCCCTTCCAGCCCAGTGGGGGCCAGCCGAGTCACACTGTGGTCAGGGTTACCCGCTTCTCAGGGCCCGATGCTGGTCTCCCCCGACCCCCGGTGTCTCTCCAGGGTGGGTGTCAGGCTGTTGCTCTGACTGTGATGTCCTTGTTAGCAGAGCCGCCCCCCGGCAGGGAGGCTCTCTGTGCAGAGTGCACAGCAGTGTCTGACTGCTGGCCTGGGCTGTGCACTGCCCTGTGGGGACGTGGTTGGGTGGCACTTTGGGTTGGGGATGGCGAGGAGAGGGCTGGGCAGTCTCATGGTCACCTGGGGACAGAGCAGCCAGTGGAACTGGGTTCCTGGACAGCGGCCTTGCTGGTCTGCACCTGGAGGTGTCTGGCCACAGTCCTGTCCACTGGCCCCGTCTCGGGGGCAGGGAGGGTCTCCGGTTGTGTGCAGGTCTACGACATAGCCTTCCACCGCGGCCCTGGTCCTTCCTCTTACGCGAGGCTGCTGCACACTGACCCTTTTGAAGGAGAGTGGCCTTGATGTCACACACAGATCACGCCAGGAGTGTGGGGCAGGGCTCCTGGGTTCCTGCTGTGTGCATGTGGGTGGCGCTGACTGGCAGCCCCCGGCCGTCTCCCTGGTTCCGTGTGGGCGTGGAGGGGCGGGGCCTTGCACGGTCTTCTGGTTTCAGGACGCACACTGTGTTCTGCACCCCGCAGGCTCTCCCGAGCTGCCCTCCCTCCGCCCCACGGCCCTGTGCACAGGGACACTGCCCCAGGAGCCCTGCAAGAAAGGAGGCCCAGCTGCTTGCCTCGAGGTTCTGTCCCTTCCTCAAGCTGAAAGCTGACCTGTAGGGTCTTACTGACGATGGCAGGTCCCAGGCTTTGGTGGCGGCCTCTGTGCCTGCCAGGAGTTGGGAGCCGGCCCAGCCTGCGGGTGAACGTCCCGTCCCGTCTGCTGCGCCAGAACACGCTGCGTGTAGGACAGGCGCCCAGTCTGCAGGCCGGCGGCCGGGGGAAGGGGCAGGAGGGCAGAGCTGGGGCCTCGGGTACTGCGAGCAAAGCCCCTCGCGGTGCCCGTGGAGCCGGACCGGGCTTTCCCCTCTTCCTTCTCCTGGGCACCAGCATGCGGGGCCTTGCACGTGGCTGACGGGGCTCCCCTTCCGGAGCCGCCCTCTGTGGGACCCTTTGCAGCCTCACCTGGCCTCCTCGTGGGGGGACGTCGTGTCACTCCCAGTCAGGCCTGGTCATGGCCACGCCCTGCCCTTTCTGCACCCACTGGGGACCCCTGTGAGGCTCTCCAGGGGCCGGGTATGGAGAATCAGGGCTCCCCCGCTGCCCGTTTTTCCAGACTGGCTTTCGGCACGAGCTCAGCCAGACACGTCGCCCCGTCCCCTCAGCCGCACTTGGCCTCCCCTATACCCCCTTCGCACTGGGCTTGGCTTTTCTCTGATCGGCTTTGAGGAGCCCCCCTCCCAGCCGCAGACATGGTCCAGCGTGGGGCTGCCGAGGGCGTGCTCCTGCGCACACGCTTCGTGGGAAGCCATCTAGATAAGATGCGACGGTGAGCCCAGCGAGACGCCCCAGCCAGGGCTCAGAGGGAGCAGAGGGTGGCCGCCCACGGCTGGCGCTGCTCCCAGCACCCTGTCCTCCCCCAGCCTGCAGGGCGGGCGGGCCCTTGCACGGGGTCGGCGGGCACTGGGCTCTTCCTTAGGCGCCAGGGGCACATCCCGGGCGGCCGCAGTCGCCGTGGGGTGTGCGGTGGGCCCGCGCTGTGGCTTCCTCTTGGAGAGGTGAGGGGCGCTGTCTGCCCACGGCTGGCTGGGGGTCTCTGTGTGCACAGCTTCCTGCCGTGTCCTGCCCGGCAGGGTGTGGTCTCGTGACGTGTCCTTGGTGGGCCCTGCCACCTCTCACCCAACCCGGGGGGCTGACGATGGCACCTAGCAGTTGACCGGCAGCCCCTGGCTGGCTGGTGGGCCTGACTGGGCACCACGTTCTTAGAGCAGCAGGTCCAACAGTTCCAACGAGAGGAGAATGTCAACCAGAAACGGGGTGCGCTCAGCCCAGGCGGAAGGGCTGCGGAGCTCGGGGGACTGGCGCGCACCGTGAGCTCAGCGTGGGTGCTGAGGGCCGTGTGCACCCACAGGAAGGGCACTAGCTGTTCTCTCCTCTCTCAGGTGTCACCTACGCTGCCAAAGGCTATTTCGACGCCCTCGTGAAGATGGGCGAGCTAGCCAGCGAGAGCCAGGGCTCCAAAGAACTCGGTAAGACCTCTGATGCGGCAGAGACCCCCAGATGGGGGCCGGGTCGCCACCTATGCCTGGGCAGGACTGGGGTCCTGTCCTGTGTCTGGTCCTGCTTCCACTGGGGATCACGTTCTCCTCGTCAAACAAGAAGCTTTTCTGAGAGAACCGTGACTCTTACGGCTGGCAGAGGCTGTGAGGTGCGCGCCTGGCCACAGGCGGGGTGCACTGGGCAGCTTCAGGGTACTCAGGGTGCACACGGGTGGGTCAGTCCCCCCGAGGAGCAGAGCGTGGGGTGAGGACCCGGGCAGATCCACATGGCTGGTGTGGAGCGCCCTGTAGGACGACTGAGGTCATGGGGAGCATACCTGGTATAACAGGGAGACGGGACGCCAGCCCATCACATGGGGTGCCCTGGTGTTGTGTGTGCACATCGTGTGGTAAACTGAGGAAAAGGCCCAGAAGTGCAGCAGGGGAGCTCCTGGCACGGGTCATTCTCTCTGTACTTTCACTGTTTTGCAAATTTTGTGCCGTGAGTTCACGTCGCTCCTAACGCGGGCACAAGAATGAAGTGGGGAGAGTGTCCCTCACGCGCCCAGAGGCCCTGGGCGTGCCCGCAGGTGTGGGGCAGCAGGCTGTCGCCGGCGGAGAAGGCCGTCTTCCTCCCTCGGCCCTTGTGGCCTTTCACACTGTCCACTGCCACGTGGGGGCCTCTCCACCGTGGCACTTTGCAGGGGCCTCTGGCGTTGCCTTGTTTGGGGACACGGAGGCCCAGCCGGCCCAGTTCCCTGGCAGGCCCAGGCCACGTGTCCAGTGAGGACACTGCCACAGCTCTGGAGACTTATGGGGCTGGGGGCAACCTGCCAGTGGAGCGCGCCGGACCCCCACGATGGGCGGGCTCTGCTTGTGGGGGCGCCAGGCAGACCTTCCTCCAGCGCCTGAGGGGCTGTGCTGCTCTCTAGCCGTGGAGGGACGCCGTCTGGCCTCCACGGACAAGGCGGGGCTCACCTGCCCCTGGCAGACGCGGGAGGACGCGGGGGGCTCGAGGCAGGCAGGCGTGGCCTCACCGGTGACACGGGGGACGCTCGGGCTCAGGGGCCGCTGTGGGCCTGTCCGCACCTCCTGGGCATCCTGGCTGCAGCTCTGGTGGCCACGGACTGGCCTCTGAGCCCCTCGGAGGGGAGCTGGTGCTGAGCATGACCCCATGTGAGTTTGCGCACGGGCTCCTGTCTGCGAGAAGGGCGTTTGATCGTGGGGTCGGTTGTGGCTACGTGGGTCACACATGGGCCCTGTGGTCGCGCTCACAGAAGGGCGAGGGTCTGCCCGTGGGAAAACGCGGGTCTCTGTGGCCCCAGGAGGGTGGTGGGCGTGTGCGGAGCCACCCTGAGGTCCCAGAGCTTCCCGGTGGCGAGGCCCAGTGAGCAGCGGGGCGGCAGGGCAGGGAGCTCGCCAGGGCAGGGATGGCCCCTCACGCTCCAGGAGCTTGGCCCATCCCAGCTGGAATCAGGGAGTTTGCAGTTTGCTTTCCTGAGTGTTTGGACTCTCTACTGAGGCTCGCGTGGAGGCCAGCACTGGACGGGAACGTCCTCTGCGTGCGTCAGGGTTAGGCAGACAGACCTGTGTCCTCTCACCACGCGCTGTGGCAGCAAACATGGGGCTCCCCTGGTCAGCCAGTTCTCCCGTTCTCTGAGGCCCCGCAGTTCAGGGCTGCTCACTGGCATCTGGTTCCAAAGCTCGCCCATCACCCACTCCAGCCGGAGGACCCCGACCCCAGTGGCCCTCTCCCTCCCAGACCCTGGAAGCTACTCATCCGCTGTCCTCTGCATGTACAGCGGCTCCGGACATCGGGCAGTGACCCGTCGTGACCGTGAAGTCTGGCTTCTTTCTGCACGGGAAGTTAGCGGTGGAATTGCGGGGCGCGTGCTGTGGTCCGTTCTGGGTCCGGCCGCTTCTATCTGCAGAATTACCGCGAAAGTCGTTCATGTTCCTCCGCGCGCCAGCGGCCCTCGCACCTTGGTGCCAAGGCTTCCCACTAGATGGAGGCGCCGGCGTGTTCTGCCTTCTGCGGAGCGACGTCTGGGCTGTTTCCGGTTTGGGCATTTCCAGATTCGCGTCCTGCTCGTGAACCAGCGCGCGTGAGCGTCTCTCCCCGCGCGCGCTTCTCCTGCTCGGCCGGTCTGTGCTCCCGTCCTCCTCCGGCTGGGTTTTGTCCCGGGGTGGAGGTGCGGGGTTCGCAGATGGTTTCTCCCGGTGCCGTCCGGAGTTGTTTTAGGAGCAAATGCGTTTGTTTTCAGGGACGTCCGGGTAATTGATTTTCTGTGTGTGGGTTTTATCGCGACTGTGCTTACCACTTCCGCCTTTGCCGTTTCCTTCATTTGCTTGGTTCGCGGTTTGCTTCTGCTGATGCGTTCCCAGAGCCTCGGCCACGGTCCTGGTGCGTGCAGCTGCTTCTTCCCTCGGGAGCACGTCCCCAGCCCCACCTTCCCGCTCGCTCGGATCCCTCCCGCCGGCACCCCCCCCACCCTGGTCCACCGGGAGTCCCTTTTCCAGTCCGGAGACCACGTGCTCCGGTCACGTTTCTCCCTCAGCTGGGGGAAACTGGGTACGTATGTAGGAAAGCACCTGAGCCCTCCTGTGTCTGCAGCCACGTCTCTACTTGGCCAAAGGCTTGGCTGACTTTGAACCGCAGACGGGATGCGGTCCTGCCTCGGGCCTGGGGACACCACCCACTGTCCTCTGGGCCCTAGCGCTGGGCTGCTAATTTCTCCGACGCGGGGCTTCAGTTTTGGGTGAGTGTTCTGTGTTTCTCCTCCTGGAAGCATTGGGGGTCTTCGTTCCTGGGGTGCTGCAGATCTTCCGACTGTGTGCCTGTGTGTGTGTTGTGGGGAGGGTGCCTCCAGGGCCACGGGTATTGAGCTGCGACCCGGGTGCAGAGGACAGGAGCAAGGGACGCACGCACGAGTGCAGGGGGCTCAAGTGAGGCGTTCTGGCAGAAGTAAGCGCGGTCTGGAGCAAGGGAGGGTGGCGGAGCCCTGGGAGGGTGGGTCTGTGCTTTCTGGGGCTGCCCAGAGCCCGTCCCCTGCAGCGAGTGCCCTTGGTGGCTGCTGTGGAACATTCCACGAACACACTGGGAACGCCACGTTTCTGTGTTCTGTCAGCTGTTGCGTTATTCTGGGTGGGTTTTGCTGCTCTGAACGAATGTGTCCATGGGACGGCAATGCTGAGCCCGGCCCCACGGTGACTTCCACGGTGCTGCCCTGCTAGGCCGCCTCAGACATGGTGCTGGGCTGCGGGACAGGCAGCCCCGGGTGCTCCCTGTGGAAGTGCCGTCACCCTCGGGGACGGGAGTGAGCGCATGGGCTTATGCCCGGCTCGGGAGGCTTCTGTGGGACTTGGCAGGGCTCCCCTCTGAGTGTGGCTCGGGCAGCCACGTTCCCTTCTCACTCATGCTCTCATGCCACATCTGCATGGACAGGATCCCCCTCCCCCCACCACCCTGACCCCTGGCCCAGACACCACAGCTACCGGCCCCCTTGGCCAGCCCAGCTCGGGGGTTGGGGTGGGGGTGCGCTAGCCTCACTTCTCAGACACCAAGAGGCACTTGTTTTCACTTTGTCATAATTTGGGGCATCCAAGGTGCCCACGTACCAGGGACAGATGATGCCACCCAGGGGGGACACCCGGCCTGAACTTGTCCCACATGGTGACCTGCTGAGAGAGACAAGGTCTTCCAGGCCCTTCTGAGCCTCTTGCTTTGCCACCGCCTTGAGGCCTGGTGGAAATTTCGCACTTGGGGTGCTTTGCTCTTGGCTGTGTGGACAGGTTGGGGTCCGGTGGCACGTTCTGGCCACTGTCCACACGCAACAGTGTCATTGGAGTTTCAGGTGTTGAGGTCACCCGCCGAGGACGTGATTTGTCCTGGTCCCTCCGTGCTCAGTTCCCTCAGTGGGTTGCCAGGGGCATCATTGTGGGCTCCCTTCCCCTCCCCTTCTGCAGGCTGGTCGGGACCCCGGCGAGGGGCCCACATGGGTTCCCGGATGGTCCTGCGTCTCGGCTCTCTGACGGGCTGTCCTGTCCGGCCCGGGGCCCCGTGTGCACACACGTGCTTCGGGGAGAGAGCACACCTGTCCCCTGGTGACGGGTGTGGGTTCTGTGTCACCTTCCAGTCTCGAGAGCCCCCCGTGCTGATTAGCGAGCCGACAAGGCATGCCCCACCCCGCTCCCGGGACAAAGGGCCTGTTGGTTTCTCCCGTGGTCGTGGCTTTCTCGGCTGCGGGGTGTGATGTGAGTGTGCAGGTGACTCGTCGTGCAATCCCGTCGTCCTGAGCCGCTGAACCCCGCCTCAGCATGGTAACTTTCTCTGTCCCTTTGTCTGGGCTAGAGTTTGGCTTCCTGCTGCCCTTCCCGTCTGCAGCGCCGTGGACTTGCTGTTTCTGATCATTTCCTGCCACGGTCTTCCCCCCCAGGACGGGAGTGGGGAGCTGGGAGTCCTGCTGAGAATGAGCCGGTCTCCGGGGGGAGTGTGTGGGTGGGGGGCTGGCCCAGGCACCGGGGAGGAGGGCTCTCTGACCTGAGGTCGTTTTCAGAAGCGTGATCTTGCCGCGGGGCTCAGTGGGGCTTCGCCTGCCCTCTGGCTGCCGACTTCCCGCCTGGGTCTCAGGTGTGCTCCCTCCTGGGGGCTGGAGGGTTGGAGACCCTGGTCCCACTCCCTTTTGTGTTCTGACTCCTCCAGTCCCCTGTTAGGGTGGCGTGTGCAGACCCTCATCGGACAGCTGCAGGACACTGCACCCCCCCCACCCCCCTGCGGAGCCCAGTGCCCTTTCCGCCCAGAGGGAGGGTCTGGAGCAGCACGCGCTCCTCGAGTTAGACCCCAAGGTTGTGGGAGTGGAGAGCCTCCCACAGCGTGTTTCCCACTTCTGAGCGCGAGCCTGGCCCCACAGCGGCCTTTGTGCTCCTGGGCTGGGGCTGCGCAGACTCTGCCCGTCTCCCCGCACAGTAGGCAGCTGGCCGCTCTGCCTTTG